GAGCCAGGTGCCCATGCAGACGCGCTCCTCCATCCTCCTGGCAGAAGGGCCACCTCCAGAGGAGCCCTTGGCCAGGCCGGGCCTCATCGAGATCCCACTGGGCAGTTTGGAAGAGCCCTTGGCCGAGAATGAGGGGGATGGGAGCCCCCCTGATGCTGACGATTCCTTAGAGGAAGACGGTTCTTCAGAGGGAGTTCCCCGCTCTGGGCTGGGCTTCTTCTATAAGGTGAGCCACCTTAGCGGGTGGGGCCGGGGATGCATGGATGGATGGTCAGGGCGTGGGGAGGTGCGGGGGTGGGTTGCTGGACCGGTGGGTGGACGCATGGTCAGGTAGATGGACAAATAGATGGAGTTGGTGGATGGACAGAAGGTAGGTGGATGAGGGCTAGGTAGCCACATGGGAGTGGGCAAGTGTGTGCGGCCAGATGGACAGATAGGTGGGGTGTGTGGACACACAGAGGGTAGATGGGTAGACAGACAGATGGGGTGTGCACATGGGTAGATGGGTGGGTGATGGACAAAACGGACACATAGGGCAAGGGTCTTCAATGACATCTCCTTCCCCTCCTGCTGTCTCCTTCACACACCCCCTTCCTTCCCAGTGGCCTTGCCAGTTCCCCTTCCTGTCCCTGCCCTGTATCCTGTTACTCTTCATCCTCATGGCACCCCAGCCTGGGCCTCCATCTCTCACCTGGACACCTGCCGTCACATTTTAAAAACAGATTTTTTTTTTTATTGATCTCAGAGAGGAAGGGAGAGGGAGAAACATCAATGATGAGAATCATTGATCGGCTGCCTCCTGCACGCCCCCACACTGGGGATGGAGCCCACAACCCGGGCATGTACCCTGACTGGGAATTGAACTGTGACCTCCTGGTTTATAGGTTGATGCTCAACCACTGAGCCACACCGGCCGGGCTGCAGTTATATTTTGACTGGTGTACACTGACCTCCTCTCCCAAGTACCTGGCCATTTCCAACTGAGCAGCCAGAGATTTTCAAAAAGGGCAGATTGGTCCTTGTCACTGTCCTGTTAAGCCCTTTGCCCTTACAATTAAAGCCAGTCCTGAGGCCCAGCTCGGCCCCGTGCAGTGCCGTTCTCCCAGCTCCGCGTCCCGACCAGCCTCCTGCCGCCCACATGCTTGTGAGGCTCGTGCTGGCCCCAGGGCCTTCGTACTCGTTCCCTCTGCTCTCCACCCTCCTCCTCTGGGTTGCTGCCTTCAGGAAGCCTTGCTTGGTGCCTCTCTACATGTAGACTGGCAGCTGCCGGTCGCTGTGGTGTCACATTGCCTTCCCCGCTGGGCTAGTGCTTTATGGGAGCAGCACCCAGGTCTGCCCTGCCCGTGTGTCAGCACCCAGCACATGGGGCTCTGCATAACGTGGGCGCCAACTAAATGCCTTTAGAACAATTACAAAACCGCAAGTACAGGTGAGTGGCTGGCGGGCTGGGCTGACTGGTCAGACTGTAGCTGTGCCAGGGGAGACACCAGCTGGACTCCGTGCCTGCCCCCAGGATGAAGACAAGCCCGAGGACGAGATGGCCCAAAAGCGAGCCAGCCTGCTGGAGCGGCAGCAGCGGCGGGCGGAGGAGGTGCAGCGCCGGAAACAGTGGCAGGAGGCCAAGAAAGAGCAGCAGAGGGAGGAGGCTGCACGGTGAGCTGGGCGCAGGCCAGGGACCCCGCCACCAGACCCCATCACCTGTCTGACTGCTTCCTCCCTCCGCCTGTAGGCTGGCCCAAGAGGAGGTGGCCCCTGGCCCCCCAGCCCCCACTGCCAGGGCCCCAGCTGAAGAAGAGGCGGGCCCCCGGCGTGGGGAGTTCACACGGCTTGAGTACGAACGCCGGGCCCAGCTGAAGCTCATGGATGACCTGGACAAGGTGCTGCGGCCGCGGGCCTCAGGCGGGCCAGGCCGGGGTGGACGGAGGGCCCCGCGGCCGCGCTCTGGTTGCTGTGATGATTCTGCTCTGGCTCGAAGCCCCGCCCGTGGCTTGCTGGGTGAGGACCCGGTGGGGAGGGGGTGGATATGCTGCAGGGGCCATGTGTGGGCGATGAAGGGCCCAGGTAGGCCTGTCCGCCCGCTCGGTGAAGACTTCCTGGGGATGTGGGGGTTGCAGTAAGGTAAGGGCAGTTGGGCAGAGCTGGCTTAATAGTTGAAGCCCCTTGGGTACGTTTGGGGGTGAGAGATTTCTGCTCGGGGCTACGTAGGGTGAGGGTTTGGGGACAGGGATGACCTCGCATTCCCTCCGCAGTCTGCCAGGCAAGGCCCCACTGGGCACTTCGGGAGGTAAGGGGGCTTTGAGTGGGGTCCGATCCAATGCACTCTCTCCCTAGGTTCCCGGCTCAGCAAGATCTACTCCCAGTCTACCCTGTCCCTGTCCACAGTGGCCAACGAGGCCCCCAATAACCTTGGCGTGAAGAGGTCCACATCTCGGTGAGTGTGGCCGGGGCAGGTGGCCTCTCCAAGTCGGTATGTGCACATGTGTGAGCTTCTGAGCGTGACATGGCATGGGTGTGCGTATCTGCCACTAAAGGCTGCAAGAGCACCTACAAGGCCGAGGGGGAGTGTCTGTACTGAGGGACAGGACCTACAGATGTGCCTGAGGCAGGAGAGCGAGGGCACTGCATGGACTTGGGAGTGTACAGCGTACACGCAGGTCTCCTCTCTGCAGAGGTTGCAGGCTGTTCCGTCCCTAGTCCCACTGCAGACTGGCAGCTTCACTTCCCCTCCCCACTGACTGCATCTCCATCCCATCCCTTTCCGTGTAGGGCTCCGTCCCCATCAGGTCTCATGTCCCCAAGCCGCCTTCCTGGTGGCCGTGACTGGGAGAACGGCAGCAATGCCTCTTCGCCTGCATCAGTGCCTGAATACACAGGTGAGTGGGACTCCAGGTGGCCGGTGCTGGGCCCTCCCTTTCCCTGGTCATCCCTGCTGACTACCCTGCCCTCTAGGTCCCCGGCTGTACAAGGAGCCCAGCGCCAAGTCCAACAAGTTCATCATCCACAACGCCCTGTCGCACTGCTGCCTGGCAGGCAAGGTGAACGAGCCGCAGAAGAACCGCATTCTTGAGGTCTGTGCCCAGGGGTGGGGTCCAGCGGGAGGGGTGGGGGCCTGGCTGTGCTGGCTGACGGCCTCCCCTGCCCACCAGGAAATTGAGAAGAGCAAGGCCAACCACTTCCTGATCCTCTTTCGGGACTCAAGCTGCCAGTTCCGGGCCCTGTACACTCTGTCAGGGGAGACAGAGGAACTGTCCCGGCTGGCAGGCTACGGCCCCCGCACGATCACGCCCGCCATGGTTGAAGGCATCTACAAGTACAACTCAGACCGCAAGCGCTTCACCCAGATCCCCGCCAAGACCATGTCCATGAGCGTAGACGCCTTCACCATCCAGGGGCACCTCTGGCAGAGCAAGAAGCCCACCACCCCCAAGAAGGGTAGCAGTACCCCCAAATAGCCCTGCCCGGGTGGTGCTTGGCCACCACCCTCTCGGAGGACATTCAGTGGGGACTCCTGGGTCCTGTCTGTCCCTAACCTTGTCTGGGTGGGGCTGGAGTCCCCACCCTCTAATTTTCGTCTCATCCTGCTGTGGGGGCTGAGCTGGGAGGTTCAGGGACTCAGGGCTCAGCTTAGCCCCCTGTCTGTCCTCCCTACCTTCTTGAATAAAATAATTTAAAGTGACCGTGAGTGCTGGCATCTCGGAGGCTGGCTGGGGCACCTGGTGATCTGCCTCGGAGGGTTTTCCACAGTTTCCTGTCTCCCATTCACTCTTGAACCTGCCCAGTCTCCTCAGCTCCCTGCTGGCCCTGACAGCTCTGGCCAAGGCCACGTCTTCCCTGCCAGCACCCCCACCCCATCCCCATCGCCATTTCTCAGCTCCTTTACTGACCTCTTGGACACAGGCGGCTTCTGACCAGCCCTCCTCTCCCCACGGCCTTCCCCATCCCTGCTCACTGTTTTCCTCCCCAGCGTGCCTGTGTTATTATTTGCCTCGCCTGGCACTTGGTCTGTGGCCAACTGCTAAACTTGATCGTCTCTCCCAGCCGCCTGCTTACACTTCTAGGCTGGTTACCGCCCCTGAGCCAGGGATTCCCGTGTTGTCTCCTCAGAGCTCCTGGCATGGCCAGACGCCCGACAGGCCCTACACCATAAGCCTGAGCCAGGCTGGGCTCTGTCTCCCTGTAGTTCTGACATGCCAGGGAGGGACCAGCTTCCCAGTGCCATCCAATACTGCACACTGCACCCCCTAAAGCCTCTTCTGTGCTTTATCGCCTCTCTGTCCCCGTGACCACCCCTAGTCCAAGTCAACAGCCTGGGCCTCCCCATACTCCCAGCCACCTCCTATCACAAGCCAACCCCCCACAGCAGCCTGCATGGCCTATTCAGACGAGATCGGGCGCGTTCAGGGTGGTATGGCCGTAGACTGCATGGCCTATTCAGGACACAAATCTGATTACATCCCTAAATGCTGAAAATCCCTTAATAGCTTAGAGCCTGCTAATGGTTTCCCAGAGCTTAACTTAAGGGCACACCATGGCGTGGCCCATGGCTGAGTTCCGGCTCCTGGCCTCTGTCCAGGATAGAGATGCCTTGCTAAGTCCCAGGGACTGTCTACCTCTCAAGCTAGCTGACCAGTCCTCCCAAGGAGAAGCTGGGGATCTCTACCTGCTGACTGGGGTGGCAAGCTAGACCTCAGGAGCAGGGGCTGGTGAGACCTGGGCAGATGGGGGCAAAGCCCCGCCTCTCCCAAGGCTCAGGGATCAAAGAGGCCTCAGGCAGCCCAAGTCCAGAACTGGCTCTGCAGGGTGAGGATGGGCATGTGCCCTGGCCCAAAGCCCAGCTGCACCACCTCCTACACCAGCCAATCTCGGGGTGGAGGGGGCTGGGCCCAGGGCCAGAGTGAGAATGAGCTGGCAGTCCCTGCAGGCACCTGGGTGGCAGGAGGGGCAGGCAGGAAGGAGGCTCGGACCAAGTCATACAAACAGGCTTCATTGTGAGGGGGGTGGGGGTGGGGGTGGGGGTGGGGTGGGCAGTGCGCCATCAGTCTTCCTTCAGGCTCCCAAACACAGCAGCCGGCACACTTTGCTGCTCCAGCCGCACCTCTGGAAGGTGGAGAGGACATGGTCACCTGGCAACCCTCCAAAAGGGGGTCCAGCTCCTGCCTCCCCTCACCACCCTGCTGGGCTGGCCGGCCCCTCACCATTGGGCTCCAGGTCCATCTCGTCCTCGTCCTCGTCCTCCCCCAGCTCGATCTCCTCCGGGTTGGCCTGTTGCGCTAGCTCAGCCAGTTCCTCCCGGGACGCATCGCTCCTGGGGCGGGTGGGAGTCACACTGTTCAGTGGGTCTGGCCACTTCTCTGGCCTCCCCAGGAACCTCCCTCCTGAGGAAGAACTGGCTTGCTCCCACCCCCCCACCCCCCGTCCCCCCGTCCTCACCTCACGAACAGGATCTTGCTCTGGGCCCGTGGGGGCTGGTCGTGCTCGGCCTCGGCTGCCAGCTGCTCTGCCCGCTGCTCTAGTAGCTTCATGTCATCCATGCCACTCTGCCCGGGGGCAAGGTCGGACACTGGGAAAGTGGGAAGGGGCGTCAGACACGGTGGAGGGCTCTCTCCACAGCCACACCATGTGCCGAAGGACCCCCACCTGTCCCTGAGGCTCCAGCCCTCAAGGAGTTCCCAGTTTCAAGCGGGGAGGTACAGAGTTGAACCTGCTGCTCCCAGTTCCAGGAGGTCAAGGCTGGGTAGAGGGCAGAGGCAGGACCCACAGGCCCTGAGACAGGGGAGTGTGTTGCCCCAGGGTGACCCAACCAGGGTGAAGGGTGGCTGCAGCTGCTCACCAGTGCCTGTCGCACTGCCCGACACCTTGAGCATCTGCGAGGCCATGAAGTTGACCTGTGTGTTGTAAGT